CTCGAGGGTGATCAAACTCTGAGGCTAAGGCTGTTCACTTTTGTGGTTTACATTTACTTTATTATCGTTAATTTTAATATTAATATGTCTTCTTAATTTATATCAAGTTATATCACATTGATGATAGGCTATAATTGCGTATTTTAGTCGCTTATTACACTCTAATTTATTGCACTTTAATTGAGTTTGAGCTTTAATTGCTAGTGTTTTGCACTAACTGTGTATTTTACGCCTTGTAGGAGTGATTCCGATCTATATAGATGTTATGGAATGAATTAAAGTGATTTGGAGCTTTGAAGTCTCAGTAAAAGCCCAAGGAATTAAGCCGGGATCGTGTTCGGTGGTCAAATTTGATAGTTAAGAACGAACAAAGATTCGAGTAGGCATATTGCGCACTGTCTAGTAAAATGGACATAAAGTTTTCTCAGAACTCCATTTTGGCTATATAATATATAGGTAGAAAGCTAACTCAACTTCTATGTTTTACGTTTTTCCAAATTTCAAACGGAACAGGGTAAAAAACACGGTCGAAACCGTGATCGCGGACCTGGACATGAATTGAGGCAGTGCACTGTGAAAATACTGCGCCCAAACCGCGCCCGGACCGCGGCCGCGAGCGTCCAGACCTGAAAAATTGTCCTTTTTCGCGTAGGAGAATGTATAATTGTTTGGGCCTGGCCCTACTTGATATATATACATTAAAAAATGATATTTTAAGGGGTTGGACATACTTTTGACACATATTCGACCTAAGGAGGCAGAGACACAATAGGAGCAAGGCGGGGAATTCTTCTACGAGTTTTTACTTCCTCTTACTATTCTTTCATTATTGGTTATGACTTTTAGTATTGTAGTTTTACATACTATTATGAATAGCTAATTTGTTATCTAGGGTTTTGATAGAACTTTTTGTAGGATAAATTCTTGTTATATTTTTATATAATTGAGTCGTTGGATTTCTCTACTTGTTCAACTACGTGTTTATTGTTGTTGATTGGATGGCCATCGATTGATAGTGACTATTTATTATGTGTTTCTTGAGAAAGGATACATTTTTAGGTGGTTATTGAACAACGTCACTCCTAAAGTATGTGAGAAATTAATACAGCGGGTTTAAAGGCAGGTTTAGAAATAACAAAGTCTTGACATGGTCATAGTGAGCGGTTAGATAAAGCCAACTAGCATAGTTCGAGAGAATATGTCTAGTAAATTATTGTATTTGCTCGAGAGAGAATTACGACACCTAAAGTGCTCATGATCAGTAGAGAATACATTGGCAGAATTGTAGGGAACATAGCTAGAAGGATTCCAACAATTGGGGAAATCATAACTCTAGACCTCCTTAATTTAGTCTCCAACCTTTTGTCTCGTTAGTTGATAATTTTACTGCTTTGTAATATTTGCTAGTTAATTAGTTAGAAATATAAATCTCAATCTTTATAATTTAGAAAATTGTTCAAACTTGTCTTCTTAGTGATATTAAACAGATATAGCTAAGCCTTAGTTCTTTGTGGGATTCGACTCCGGACTTTTAGACCGCTTATCCTTTTTAGGACTAGAGTTGGGCGTGATCACACGTATCCTTAAAACCGCATATAAATTTAATTGTTACCCAATTTTAAGGGTAAGTATTTTCCATTCTCAAAGAATTGTACAACTGCAGTGGTCACATCTTCACAAATAACTAGCCAGAATTCCTTGAAAAACTATACAGGATAGCCATCAAGGTGATTTGTCAGGTGGGAGAGAGTGAACTATTTGCATAATCTCTTCTCTTGTTACAGGCACCAAATATTCTTATTATTGGGTCAATTATAAGTAGGGTCCATTCCTAATACTAGTCAAGCCAATCCCTGGAAGCTCTGTTGTTGTTGTCTCTAATAACTCTTGAAAGAATCCGACAAATTCCTCTTAAATTGCTTTAGGTTCAGTGATTATATCATCTAGATCAGTATATATGCATGATATTCTATTTTTGGCTCGTCTGGATTTCAATTGTGCATGAAAAGATTTGGAAGTAGAATCTCCATGTGTAATCCATATTGCCCTGGATTTCTGCCTGAGTATTTATTCTTGGATTCCATCCCATTTCTCTATTATTTTGAGGGTTGTCTTCACTTCAATTAGTTGAGGGTTGAAGTGATCTTCATTTAAAGCTTCTTGGGTGTCTTTGAGGTGTTCCATCAATTGTTGCAGTTTGCTCTCAGTAGATGAAATCTCTGTGTGCATATCTACAGTCTATAATTTCCAACAGTTTTAGTTTTCTCCAAATAGAATACATAGTGTATCCCTGTACATGTTGAGACCAAACATGGTTAATTACACTCTTATAATTCTCATGATGTATTAGAGCATTTAGCAGCCTATATGATCTTTTTACTTGTGCCCTTAATACCCTTATGTTGAGTAGAATTGAGGTATGATAAGAAAATTCTGGTGGCATTAGATAGCCTCAATGCCACTATAGGAATAGAACCAATCTGCATTGCTAAAGGCCCAGTCTATAAGATTGTATATTACTCTCTGCATCCCTTTTGTTACTCCAATAGTATTGGTTCCCTCTTTTTGTAATTTGCCCTGCTCCAATTTCCTCCAAGAGGCTCTAGAAGTTTACTATTTCACTTTGATGTACTAGAGTTCCATTTATCCCATCTTCAGCATGTAGGATAGTGTTGAAATCTCCCAGAATTATTCATGGTCCATTGATAGTTGCATTGATGGTTATCAACTTATCCTATAGAGATTTTATGTCTGCTACAGTATGGAGTCCGTACAATAAAGGTAATGAAGCTAGATAAGACTAAGTTCTTGTCTTGGACTGAGCAATGAATCACATGTGTACAAGAATCTGGTACTGCCATCTCTACATTAGTTAGGTTCATATCCTACCATTAGAAGCATAATTATAGTTAGTGACAAAGCTCCATCCTACACCTAATTTGCTTTGAATATGATTAACTTTATTCGTTTTGACTCTAGTTTCAAAGCAACCAACTAGGTCAATCTTATTCTTAACCAAAAACAACTTAAATTCCTTTTGTTTAAAGACCTTATTTAGTTTGCTTATGTTCCATGAGCAAATAATCATACAGGAGGATGGTTGGATGATGCCCTGGCTATTTCTAACCTCTGATTTTGACATTCTCATTGATCATTTTCCCCTGTGTTTGATATAGAATTTTGGTCCCTCTCTCGGATTCTCAGGGGGCCAAATTGATTTCTTTTCTTCAGCACTTCCCAATCAATGTTGTGATGTCCTTTCTTTGCTTCACCATGGACCACCATAACATGTTTTCCCCGATTATCTATCTACATCTGCACAGCTTTACTTTGTCCTTCTATAGAAATATTAGGCAATTCAGTTGTTGTTTCCTCAGTGATAGTTTCTCTTGGTTTAGACTTTCGTTCCCACTTTTCTTTCTTTTTCTTCTTATTATTTTGAGCTACCTAAGGTGTCTGCTTCTTCTGGGTTCTTGTTATTTATTAGGTGCTTGCTGTCTAGTTGTCCCACTTTGCATTTGCCTATTAAGTGACCAAAGTAGTTGCAATCCTGGCAGAATAACGATTGAGATTCATACTCAATGTATTATTCCCACAGACTACCATTTGATCTCACAATAGGCATAATATCTGGTAGGGGTTGAGTAATATCTATCTCTATTAATACTCTAGAATATGGCACTCATTCATACTGAGTAGTAAGTTTATATGTACAAATTGATTTTCCTAGGTAGCTAGCAATTCTGCCTAGGTTTTCTTCAGTCAACATTGGATGGGAAGTCCAGGTAAAATGACCTAAAGTGATATGATACACGTAGGTTCAGTTTGGTAATTAAAATTAGGATCCCGTTCCTGTAACACCATAGGTTGGTAGTTGAAAGTGTATGGTCGATTTTGAACAATTTGAGCTTTATCTTCCACATATCTGATAGGTTATGTGTCCTGTTATGGTTTGATGATGTAATAAACTTAGTGATAAGAACCAGATGAGGAACCTATTCCACATCCTCAAAGTGCTCAAGAATAATAAGTTTCAAGTCTAGGACATGTTTCAACAATTCAGAGTAAAAAAAACAACAGATGGAACAGATAAACATCAGTTCCCTAGCTGACTGTACCAGTCAACTCTCCACAGCTATAAAGTTGCTGCAACTGTTCCACTGCACGCACGCAACAATGCAAACAATACAACAATCACTTTGTGGGGAATGCCCTTGTACAAAATATGCTTGCATCATCCAAGTGACATCACTTGGGTAATATTAACATGAAGTAAAGGAAAAACACACACTTGCACATTCCAAAATTCATCAAGCTCTCTCTCAAGTGTGTTGCCGATTTGCAAGTGACTTTTAGGACTTCAAGAACAAAGAACAACATAATGAAGGACTAGTTTCCTGCATTGGGTTTATTATATGTCCTTAGTTGTGTTGCACTTTTATTACAGTGATTTACTTGTACTTCCTACTTAGCTTAGCTCGAAACATTGTATAGGAAAACATTTGTATAACCATAAACTTTGTGTCTATGTCTTGGCTAGAGTTAGTCGATTCGTGAGCTTTGTCATAGAGGTATTACAAGAGGGCTTGTAATAGAGTTATTACAAGTGAGTGAGGTATTAAGAGTTTAATTCCTAGGTTATAATAGTTTGTAATATGAAGTTTGCTTAGTAGTGAAGTTGAAATCGTACGAGTATAGGTCGTGGTTTTTAATCCCATGAGGTGGTATTTTTCCACATAAAACTCTACTGTGTTATTTACTTATTGTTCTGTGTGTGTGTTATGTGGGAACTGATAGAGAACCAGGTTTCCTATACAGTTTGATGGACCCTTAGTTTCTATCATTGGTATTAGAGTATGTTCTTTCTACCAGGCTAACACCTAGAAAGGATCCTCATGGCTTCTCCACCAAACTTTGAAGAAGGTCAATCTACCTACAAACCACCAAGATTCAATGGACAATACTACGGATGATGGAAGACAAGGATGCATGATTTCATCATGGCTGAAGATTCAGAGCTCTGGTATGTTATTTGCGATGGGCCCTTCATTCCTATGAAGACCATTGGCAAACCAGCAATGACAGTTCCCAAGATAAGGAAGGAGTACAACGATGCTGACTGTAAAGCTATAGAGAAGAACTTCCGAGCAAAAGAGATCCTCGTCTATGGTATTGGACCAAACGAATACAATAGGATCTCTGCCTGCCAATCTGCCAAAGAGATTTGGGAAGCTCTCCAAACAGCACACGAAGGAAAAAATCAAGTCAAGCAGTCAAAGATCGACATGCTCACGACTGAGTATGAACTATTCAGGATGTATGATGATGAGTCTATTCAGGACATGCACAGTCTATTCACCTCCATCATCAATGAGCTTCACTCTCTGGAAGAGATCATTCCAAGGAACAAACTTGTTAGGAAAATACTTAGTGTATTACCTGGTTCCTGGGAAAGCAAGGTCAATGTTATCACAAAGGCAAATGATGTGCAAAAGTTGACCATTGATGAACTCATTGGAAATCTGAAGACATATGAAATGAAGAAAAGGAAGGACCATGAAAGAAGAGAACCCAATAAGGAGAAGAACCTGGTCCTCAAGGCTGACAATAATGACCCAAGTGGCGAGGATGCTGACATTGCATATCTAACAAAAAGATTCCAAAAGATGGTGCGCAGAAATAGAGGCATTCCAAAAAGGGGTAGCTCCAGTAGACTAAAAGGCTATGACCTGTGTCATAAATGTGGAAAGCCATGACATTTCATCAAATATTGTCCCTTGCACAAGCAAGATCAGTACAAGCACAATACTGACAAAACAACCAAGAGGAACCTGGTTTCTAACAAAAGATTAAAGAGAAAAGACGCTACTGACAATTTTGTGAAACAAGCTCTTGCTGCATGGGGAGATTCCTCCAGTGAATTTGAAGGAGATGATGAACATGATGGCTGTTGAAAGTGAAGTAGCTAAGTATGACTCTATCTTTGCCCTGATGGCAAAATTTGATGATGATAAAGATGATGATGACGATGAAGTAAACTTTCTGGACGTTCAAAGAAATTTGAAGCCTTACTCTCAAAAGAAGTTTATATCCTTGGAAAATGTTCTAATTGATACATATCGCAATCTCTTAAATGATAAAAATGTGCTAACTATGGAACTAGGAGAAGTAGAACATGAGAGAGATGATCTAGTAGTTGTAGTGGTTGATTTAAAAGAAACCATTGAGACTTCAAAAAGGGAAAAAGATGCCTTAACTGGAAAAATTGCAAACGTAGAGTATGAGAGAGATAACTTATTGGTAATAGTTGTGGACCTAAAGGAAACAATTGAGGGACTATAAAGAAAAGCAGGCATGAAAACACTCAAAAAGGAAAGGAAGTTGCAAGTTAGACACACCTTAGGCTTTGAAAATGAGCTAAAATCAGTGAAATCTAGTCTGTGTATTGAACTTGAGAGAAACAAACAACTTTAGGAATATCTAGGCAAAGTTAAGAATGACCTAGAAAAATCTCTTAAGTGGACCTGGTCCTCTGATGTAATCATCGCTATGTATATGAACAATGGGGGAAATAGGCAGGGAATCAGGTTCCAAATGGAAAAGACACCTTACAACCCTCATAGCAAGTACGTTACTGTCACTGATAACTGGCTTTGCACTCACTATGGTAACATTGGGCATTTTAAAGAAACATATAAAGCTAGATTTCAGCCTCAATGGAAAAATAAAGTTTTTGTTAAAAAAGTAACTACTGCTAAAGAACATGGTCCCTCAAATAAAAAACGTGTGAGTCATGCTTGGACAAAAAGAACCTTGATTCACCCTTTTCCTCACTACAATGGACCCAAACTTTTTTGGGTTCCTAAGTCTATCCTTGATTTCCTTGCGCAGGGAGCAGTGAAAGGAAGAAGCCAGAAGCCAAATATGGTATATGGATAGTGGTTGTTCTAAGCATATGACTAGAAGCACTAATGATTTCCTTTCACTCAAAGCCCTGTAAGGAGGGAGTGTGTCCTTTTGACATTCTGAGAGTAGGAATAATTGGGAAGATACTCACTCACTCAATTGAAAATGTGTATTATGTGAACGACTTAAAATTCAGCCTACTGAGTGTTTCTCAAATCTGCGACAAAGGAAACAAGGTGAAATTTTTGTCAAAAATATGCACAGTCACAAATCTCGTGACTGGTGAAGTGGTCCTCATGGCAAAAAGATACAAAAATATAAATGTTACTGATTTTGAGTCCTTGGACAATGGGGACGCTGAACGGTGGCATAGAAGATTAGGACATGCAAGTTTTATGTTGCTAAACAAATTGGTCAAGAAGGACCTGGTTCGTGGGCTACCTAAGTCAAGTTTCAAAGATCACAAGGTTTGTGATGCATATGTAAACGGAAAGCAAGTCAGGTCCTCCTTCAAACCCAAAAAGGAAGTAAGCACCGCAAAGGCCACTTAATCTCCTCCATATGGATCTATGTGAACCTATGAGAGTGCCAAGTAGAGGAGGAGAAGTACATTTTTGCCATAGCGGATGACTACTCCAAATTCACCTGGACCTTGTTCCTCAGAACCAAGGATGAGATTTTTCAGTTGTTTGTTGCTTTTGTGAAGGAGATCTAAGTAAAGATGAGCCATAATGTTGTGAGTATAAGATTTGATCATGGCGCAGAGTTCGACAATGCAAAATTCGATGAATTCTGTGCTGAAAATGGTATAAGTCATAATTTTTCAGCTCCAAGAGCACCCCAACAAAATGGTGTTGTGGAGAGGAAAAATAGGACTATTGAAGATATGGCAAGGACAATGCTGATTAGCAGTGGTATTGCAAAAAGCTTCTGAGCAGAGGCAGTCAACACATTGTGCTACTTGGTGAACATGTGCATGATCAGGTCCCTCCTGAACAAATCCTGTATGAACTACTGAATGGGAGGAAACCCAAGATAACACACTACAGACGTTTGACTGCAAATGTTTCGTCCTCAATAATGGTAAGGAAGCATTGGGAAAATTTGATGCCAAAAGTGATGAAATAATCTTTCTTGGCTATTCATCACAAAGCAAAGCTTACAAGGTATACAATAAAAGAGCTCAATTTGTTGAGGAAAACATACATGTGATCTTTGACGAATCACACCACCCATTTGGGAAAGATTTAAATATAAGGTTGATCAAGATGGAGAGCAGTCAAATTTTCCTGGTGAACTCATTGATATGACAAATGGAAAGTGTGAGCACGTGATTTTTGCCCTATATGAATTACTCCTACAAATTCAAAATAAAATAATTTTTTCCATTGTTTGCAATTTGGTGGATTTTTGTGGCATTTTCTGTTAATTGTTTGCATTTTGTTTGTGCATGTTTATTCTATTTAATTAATGAAAATATAAAAATATGTTGCATTTGCATTTAGGATTTAACTTTGCCCTCTTGAATTAAGTAGTAAGTTAGTTATTTTATAAGAATTGGAAAATCACAAAATTAGTTTAATTTGTTCATTTAATTTTAGCTTTGATTTTGAGTAGCTTTCTTTTGTTAATTTGTTTTTAGTTAATTGTGTTAATTATCATTTTAGGTTTAATTAGTTTTTTTTAGTTCTAGGAATTAATTTTGATTTTAATTAAATTTCGAAAAAAGAGGAAAAAAGGAAAAAGGAAAAAGAGTTTTGAATTAAATTTGTTTTGAATAAAAAATGAAAAGGGTTGGGCCGGTTTTCAAACTAAACTCCCAGGCCCAAATCTTCCAATGTGAAACCCGTCCAAACTACCCGAAACCCGACCCAAACCCACGCCCTGACCCGGTCTGGTTCCCCCCACTCAACCAAACGACGTCGTTCCAGTTCCCTTCATCTTGACCGTTGAACAAGTCTGATCGAACGGATCAGACCTGGGGAGGTAAGGATATTTATATGTCCAAACACTACCTTACCCCCCTCATTTCATCTCGTTCAACCCCCCACCTCCTGAGACTCTCAGCAAGAACCCTAACCCGCCGCCCCCTTTCCCCATTGCTTCGAGCCCAGCAACGACGCTATAGACCACTCGAATCCCCATCAAAATCAATAACACAACACCCCATGGCTCCCTCATACCATATCTGGTACTCGTTTCCCTCGAATCTTTCTAGAACCCGTCGAATCTTGATTTGAAGTGTGAAACCCAAAAAACCCAAAATCAGATTCTGTGCATGCAAGGGCTATTTCCCCGATTTTCCTGAGTGTTCAAGGCCGATTTATCACGAAACAATGATGGTCGCTGGTTCTTGACAAAGAACAAGCTATTAACATTATTTTGGGATAAATTGGAAATCCAGTGTTGGTGTCGAGTTTAGTCGGTAAGCTTCTTTATTTTTTCTGTCCATTTCTGTCACTTCACCGTCTTCCTCTTCTTTTCTTCTCCTTTTTCTTTAATTAATTTTTATTCTGACTAAAAGTTGATAAAAGTTTAAACCTAGGTTTTCATTTAGGTGTTCGTATTTATTCTGTGTGTTCTCCAATTTTCTTTTCAAATTTGTCGTCAGTTTTGTTTGATTTGTGTATGTTGCATGTTTAGCTTTATTTAGGTCGCAATTTCTGATTCTTCTAATTGTATAATTAGCTATGGTTGATTAGGTTATATAGTTTAATTATAGTTCATTAGTTAGCCTATAAAGAGAAATCAGCCATTTAGCTAGAAATTTAGTTTTAAAAATCTCCCAAGTGATTATCGATTCATTAAAATGAGCTTCTGATTTTGTTTGGGCCTTGAGGCCATTCTCGACCCCAATGCAAAAGCCTTTTAAGTTTTGGCTCAAGATTGACTTATATCCACTTTGGGTTCAGGGGTAAAAACAGGGCAATTAAAGGGTTAGTTTGGGTAAAAGACGTAGGGAATCTAGGTGTAACTGACTAGGGAAGCTTCTTGGAAGCTGGGGTTGGGATTATTCTGAATTTCTAGATTGTACATTAAGGACTCCTAAGCAAAAATAAAAATTCCAGAAGGTTTTTAAATGCAATTTTGAACTCTTTAAGGCTGCCCTAGTAGCTTGCCTATAAAGGCATTGTTACTTAGATCTCGAGAGAGATTTTGCAAGGGCTAAAAAATACAGAAAAAGAAACGGCTAAAAGAGAGATAAAACTACTGTTCCATTGAATTTTTTTTTGGTGATTTTAAAGTTTTTCCAGTTCTGAATCAAAATCTCTGGTTTACATTGAGTTGAAAATGGTTTAAGCATTCCTATGGTTAGCATATGAGGTTATTATAAAAGTTTCCGGGGTTGTCTTTAAGTTTTAAACTTGGGCATTCAAGCTTGGTTTGAGCTAATTTCTGCTGCTGACTTCTTGCTGATGCTTTACTGATTTCTTCCTCTTTTATTTGCTCGAACTACACCAGGTACTCTTCTGAAACCATGGTTGGAAATGAAGCCTGTTTGAGTTTCGTATAAAGATTTGTAAACTAAGCTGAAGTTGAATGAAAAGCATTAGTCCCTGTTGTTGGTTACTGTTAGATTTTGCCATATTCGTATTCATGTTCTAGTCTAGCTTATTGTGAATGATTCATTTCTTGATATACATTTGGTTTTAAGTGCTGGATTTGGACCTTGTGTGAATATATGTCACGACCCCAACCCCGGTCATGATGGCGCCCAACACACTGCTAGGCAAGCCTGACCAACTAACAACCCTTTCTGTTTTCTTATGAAAATCATTATCAGTTAACATAGTTAAATTGCCAAATTACTCCAATAAGAGTTTAAGACAACGAGTTAAATATGCGTAAAGTCAGATGATAATACACTACATAGCCCATACAGATCTGGTGTCACAAGTCTCGAGCCTCTAGTACAAGTTTNTCAGATGATAATACCACTACATAGCCCATACAGATCTGGTGTCACAAGTCTCGAGCCTCTAGTACAAGTTTAACAACCTAATACATGTCCATCTAGGGAATACTAATTAATAACAAAGATAGAATG